TTCCAGTTTGCTAGATTGCTTTCTGAATTATGTTTTATTTTCCAAGGGCAAGGGCAGTAGGACTCATTGCTATTGCTGGAAATGTAGGTTCAGCTATGTCTCCAGTTTTAATGACCCTCATGATGTACTCTGACTCTTTACCCTGGATCATCTATGGAGCCATTTCTATCCTTGCTGGCTTTGTTCCTCTTCTCCTTCCTGAGACCAAGAACCAACCTCTGCCTGACTCCATTCAAGATGTAGAAAATGAGTGAGTAACACCTCTACCTCCCACTTAAGGGGACTTGTATGTCAATGGTCTATGATGTGGAAAGCAAAATAGTATTCAGACCATCTCTCTTCCAATGAATCAGACATTTGGGCTTTTTCTCATGTGGTCCTTGAGTTTGGTATAGGAGTCTATCTTGTATCCCTTCATAAGGTAGATGTAAATGGGCTTGGATTTCCCTAAACACAAAGACCAGCTCTACTAGAATGTACTAGGAGATTTATTGATAAATAGGCAAATTGATGTCTTCTGCCCACTATGCCTTTATGTAAAACACATAAAGCATATGTGTTAATGTGGTGCATGTGTAATGTATATATGTATGTAAAGGCCAGAGAAGGGCATTAGATGTTCAACTCATTCTTTTCCCATTCTGAGGATTCCATCAATGAACCAGGAGCAGGGATGGTGACCAAAGAGTACCACAATACTGCAATTAGAAGCATTTGTGTCCATGCCCAGCTTTTTACATAAGTTCCTAGGATTTGAACTCAGGACCTGCTTCTTTTGCAGAAAACACTCAATGCACTGAGCTTATCCATTAAACAAGGAAACAGATATTCTTGCCTATATTTCACAAGTATGCACAAATACAAATGGCATTTCATCCTTAAGAATCAGAATCATCTGTCAGCCCAGTGAGTGCTGGCAAGCTGTTTGAAACTGACAGTTTCTGGAGCCCTAGGGGTCTGCCATGATCACTCAGTAACTTAGAGGAAATAGAACCCGACAGAGGTGACAGTGAGTTTTTGCTGTGAGATTCAGATCATCTTGGTTTCATTAAGTATGAAAAGTTCACAACAGAAAGAATGACAATGTCAATAATGAGATTAAACAAAAAGAATGAGCAAGATTTTTAAATGATGGTGTATTTCCTGTGCTATTTTTCCTCCAAACCTCCTTGGAGAATGCTATGACCACCAAGGTAGTAAGTATCAAAGCCGACTCTTCGAGGTTACTAGGGAGGAGTTGGTTTTTGTTTCCCCAGATTTACTTAAATCCTTTGGTAGAAATCTTAGACTTTACAAAAGATGATGGGTGAAGGATGAGATTGTTCTTATGATTCAGGATATAACTTTATTCTCTGTGTCCTTTCAGGTTCGTTTACACGTTGATGGTATTTGTTGTGTGTGTTCTAGTTGGAAAGGTTCAAGGCATACAAATGAGGAAGGTGCCATCATCAAAGTGACACCATTTTAAGGAACTCTGAGAACTGGCCTCTGGTCAAATAGGAGGATAAAGAAAAAAGACACTCAGAATGTGCTGTCCCAGTAGCATTCTTAGCTATTAGCAAATTTTTCAATAAATGTTGATGCAAATATGGATTGTATTTTATACCATTTTACTAAATTATTATACATGAAACACCTATAATTATTCACAGTAAGAAATGTGGAGATGATATACAAGTGCCTGCACTCATCCCACAGATTGGGACAGCAGATGCCACTACAATGAACAAATGTGTGATGGAGATGTGGGAAAGACAGAGTATGTGGTAGAGATGGGAGAGAAAGAGAAGTACAGCAGTTCATGTGCTGTGGATAGAGGTGGAGGTTCAAAGGCTGTGAGGAACAGACAGATATGAGGAGCCTTTGCTGCCTCTTGAAATCATGTTGATGTCCTGGGGCCCTACTGTTAGCTGGGACCACACTGATTGAGTGGCCTGTGCTGCCACCTGAGGCCATGAAGATGTCTGGACCAGGGCTGTCAACAAAGGCCATGTCCAGGTTCATGGCCCTGCCACAGCTGTGATCTGTGTGGATGTCCATGGTCCATGTTGCCACTGAGAACCACTCAGATGTCTGTGGTCTGGACTGTTGTTTGATGCCATTCAGATGTCTGGGGGCCCTACAGTCAACAGGGGCCAAATTAATATGAGTGTTCTCTGCTGCATCCTGTGTTCATGGTGATGTCCTGGTCCAGGCTACTGCTGAGGGACACGTCTGGGTCCAAGGACTTACTTTAGCCTGAGTCTGTGTTGATGTCCATGGCCTGAGTTACCACCAAAGGTCCTACAGTACTCCATGGTCTGTGCTGCCACCATGAAGGCCATGGTTTCATCTAGGACCAGCTGCTACCAAGCACCATGTTTGGATCTGAGGCCCTCCATTTCTGGGGTCTATGTTGATAACTGAGGCCTGTGTTGCCATCAGGGATCATTTGGATGACTGTTGTCTGGTCTTCTATAAGGATGTCTGGGCCTGGGGTGCAACTGAGGGCCAAGGGTCCATGGTCCTACTTTAACCAGAGTTTGTGTTAATGTCCATGGCATGTGATACCACCAAAAGCTGAGTGGACATACACTACTCCATGGTTTCTGCTGCCACATGAAGCCATGTTGATGTCCTGGTACCATGCTTATCTGACTCCACCCTTCACTGGATACGCAAGATCTGGTTTGACCCCTGTGTAGCTGCAGTATTCAGGAGAGCTGGCCTCACCCCTTGCCTGGGCAGTAGGGGAGAGCTGGCCCTGATGGCATGAGCTTGGGAGAGCTATCCCCAACCCCTGTAGGCCCTGTTATGACTGGGGCTTGGAAGAGGAGCCACCGAGGGCTGGTGGGGGGAACAGGTCTTTAAAGTGGGAAAACTGGCCCCACCCCTTCCCAGATGGGGCACTCAGGAGATCAGTCCCCACTCCTCACTGGGCAGCACTGTAGAACTGGACTTGGTGGTATAGGTACCAGTGAGCCAGCTCTGAGTGTGTAAACTTGGGAGAGCTGGTCTCGCCTCTCACCTGGGCAGTGTGGGAAAATTGGCCTGAAAGACATGAGGGCTAGGGAGCTCTGCTGTTTGCTAGCTGCAGCATGCCAGAGAGCAAGCCCCTGAAGCATGAATATATTTTGTCTTATCAATAAAAACCAGGAGTCAAATATCAAGGTAATAACCTGAAAGATCAGAGAAGCAAAGGAGCAGCCGCCAGAGACTCTTACCTCCTCAGATCCTCTGACCAAAGGGATCGAGATCCTGTCTCCATCCACCTTATGTTCCTGTCTCCACCTCCCAATTGTGCTGAGATTAAAAGACTGAGCCTCCCAAGTGGTTTGACTAAAAGCATGCATAACCACTCCAGGCTTTATGGTTAACTAGTGGCAAGCTCCAACCTCTGATCTCCAGGCAAGCTTTATTTGTCATAACACAAACAAAATACCATACAACAAGCCCCACACCTTACCAGGGCAACACAGTAGAGATGGCCATGGGGCCATGGGGCCATGGGACCCTGAGAGTCAGCCTGAGGGTGTGAGAGCAGGAGAGATCGCCCTGCCTCTTGCTGGCTGTGGCATTCAGGTGAGCTGGTCCTGCCCCTCACTGGGCAATGCTGGAGAGCTGGCTCTGGTTATGTAGGTGAGAGAAAGATAGCCCTGATAGCATGGGAGGGCTGGTCCCACCACATTATAGCTACCACAGGCAGGAGAGCTGGCCAGACTCCTCACCTGGGCAAAGTGGGAGAACTGGCCCTGGTGCTTGTGTGCAGGAGTGCAGATGGACTGACCAACTCAGCTACCACGCAGGCCCTGATCAGGGCATTAAGCTGGCCCACAACAATATTTACCCCATCTAAGAACTGCTGGAGCATGTGAAGGGACCAGCCCAGGATCTCCATGACACAGGGCAACAACAGGATATCTGAGAGGAATCCTCATAAGAATACAATATTGATAGTGTAGTAGAAGCCAGAGGCCTCAAACCAATCCGATGACTCATTGCAAAGAACATTTGCAGGTAAAGCAACTTGGGCAAATGGTATATTATGTGACACACTGAGACACACGGCAGCTTCCAGAGTGTTATTTGTTTGTCTGTCTGTCTCTTTCTTTGTTTTCTTTGGGGAGTTGTAAAAGTGGAAGGCAGATATGGAGGGATAAGGAGATGAGTGAAATTGAGGTACATGATGCGAAATTCATAAAGAATCAATAAAAAATCTGAAAAGAAAATTGTGAAGAAAGTAACAATATATTAAAGGGAATTCTGACAGAGTATTTTTATAGTCAGAGACAATGGCCAAGTTTCTGGATAGTATTGGGTGGCCATCTTCCCTTAGCTCTGATGCAGTACCTCAGACAGATTGTCATGGCTGGCCCTGTCACTGGTGTCTAGTCCAGGCCATTGTCTGCAGTACCTAAGGCCAGTGTGAAGTGGTGCACAACAGCAGAAGGATTTCTGGAGGAAGCTGCTTATTTCCAGTGGGCAGTAAGGTGTGTGGGGAAGGAGCATGAGGAGGGACAGGGGGTAATGAAGAAGAAGAGAAGAG